GTTGTTGCTGCTGCTGCTGCTGCTGTTGTCATTGCTGCTGTTGCTGCTGCTGCTGTTGTCGTTGCTGCTGTTGTTGCTGCTGCTGCTGCTGCGATCATTGCTGTTGCTGCTGCTGCTGTTATCATTGCTGCTGTTGCTGCTGCTGCTGCTGCTGCTGTTGTCATTGCTGCTGTTGCTGCTGCTGCTGTTATCATTGCTGCTGTTGTTGCTGCTGCTGCTGCTGCTGCTGTTGTTGCTGCTGTTGTTGCTGCTGCTGCTGCTGTTGTTGCTGCTGTTGTTGCTGCTGTTGCTGTTAGTTGCCATAGAGTTGATTCTGACTCATAGCGACCCCATGTGTGCTGAGTAGAACTGCTCCATGGCATTTTCAAGGCTGTGACCTTTTGGAAGCAGATTGCTAGGCCTGTCTTCCAAAGTACCTCTAGGTGGGTTTGAACCACTGACTTTTTGACTAGTAGTCAAGCGCTTAACCGTTTGTGCCAGCCAGAGACTGCATTAAAACCAAACGAAAACCAAGCTCATTTGCCATCGAGTTGATTCCAACTCATAGTGACCCAATAGAATGGGGTAGAACTGCCTCAGGGTTCCCAAGGCTGTGATCTTTATGGAAGCAGAATGCCACATCTCTCTCCCATGTAGCAGCTGGTGGGTTCGAACTGCTGACTTTTGGGTTAGCAACCGAGTGCTTAACTACTGTGTCATCAGGGCTTTTTAGAGACTCTATAAAACCAAAACCAAACCCTTGCCGTCAAGTCGATTTCGACTCGTTATCAACCCCATAGGACAAAGTAGAACTGCCCTGTAGGGTTTCCAAGTCTGTAAATCTTAATGGAAGCAGACTGTCATATCTTTCTCCTGAGGAGCCGCTGGTGGGTTTGAACTGCCGACCTTTCAGTTAGAAGTCTTATCACTTTAACCACTGCACCACCAGGTCTTATATAGGCACCTCAAATTATTAAATTTATATGAAAGTATCAGTAGCTGTAATTGAATATAATGTAACACCTTTGTTCATATTATGCTTGAACTGTGGACAGATACTGAGTTTTAAAGTTGAATGACCCACAGTTTTTTTTTTTCCTCTCTTTTTTTTTTTAATTGTACTTCAGGTGAAGGCTTACAGAACAAATAGTTTCTCATGAAACAATAGTACACATATTGTTTTATGACATTGGTTAACAACGCCA